GGCCAAGTGTTAGCCTCACGCCACTGTTTAGACATAAAAACAATCCATGTTTACACAATATTCTTAACACTAGTTTCAATCTAGAATCTAGACAGTTCAAAGTTGGTTGTATAATGCATCAATTTCATCAAAGTCATAAAAAAACTGATTTTCAAATGACACCGGTACCCTATCAATTTGAAAATATATGTATCTCAAACAATGTGCTGTTGGACCAAGTGTGGTCAAAACAAATAAAAATTTAGTATACAACTCTAAACCGGTATAAAAATGCATGGCTGTGTCACGTGTCTTCATTTCAAAATTCTCTGCTGAAAATATAGGCATTGATGGTGTTTGCGTAATTCCATCTGTGAAGCTCAACATTAGCTCGGCAGTTGGTGGTGGACAGTCATAAATCCTGTCTGCAGTATGAATTACTTCTTCAGGAAAACCAACTTTACAATCAAAACTTTCCTCTAGATTTCTACTACAATATTCATCAAGTTTAGTTCTTTTGTTTTCACAGGAAACTGCCCTGATTTTTCTTTTTGCGGACGATTCAGTCTCTTGCTTGGTCCAGGAAAATAGGCTGGGATTGGCAGTAGACTTAAGTCTCTGTATGGTGGGTTTGTGCCCTGAAAAAGGTTATAAAACATTAGTTTTTTGATAATTAAATGAACTTCCATTAGCAATGCATACTTTGTACAGAAGCAAGTTAACTCGTACCATTGTAAACTCGTACCACGTAAACTCGTACCAACGTAAACTCGTACCACTGGGAAGTCGTACCAATCAGAACTCGTACCACTGCAAACTCGTACCATTAAAAATATATTCAAAAATACGAAAGTTTTATGATTTTTTTTTTGGTAAACTAAATAAAAAAAGTTGAATTACTTGAATTTTATACTAGATTTTAATGAAAACTTAGACAAAAATACGAATGTTTTATGATTATTTTTTTTTAAGCTTTATACAAAAAATTAAAATATCTTTGAAATTTATACCAGATTTTAATGAAAACTTAGACAAAAATACAAATGTAATTTCTTAATTACCATGCTAATAAATATATTAAATTCCTTTGATTGTGTGATTATTGGTTGATTATTAACTAATCAACTTGGTTTTTTTTATCTTTAACTAATCAACTTGTATTTTTTATCTTGATAAACTAATCAACTTGTATAATCATATAAGCATGGTCATATTCTGCTGAAATGTGCTGAATATTGTATAAAAATAAATTTCATACTTTCTAACTGTTGGTCATAAACAATTTTAAACCTTTAAAACACAATCAATAAATTCTTTCATTAAATAAAATTCCTTTTAGAAACAATAGAAAAATACCCAAATCTATTCAATGTTACTGATTTGGAATGATTAAAAATTAAATCAAATAGTTGTCAGTAAAAGTTTAAAAAAGAGTCTATTCAAGGGAGACAACAAAGCCAATCTGCCACGGTTTTCTCTATCCAATTAGACAAGGAAAATTAGCTACAAATTGGTTATTGTAATTTCAAATTATATACATTTTACAGACTTAAGAGGTATTGAGTGAAATTAAAGTATATATTCATCATTAAACACCATTTGAATGCATTTAAATAAGTGGGTACAAGTTTGCAATGGTATGAATTTACCGTGGTACGAGTTAGCAGTGGTACGAGTTTGCATTGGAACGAGTTTTTGATTAGTGGTACCAGTTGACATTGGTACGAGTTACAATGGTACGAGATAACTATAATTCCTTTGTACTCGTAACCTGGCTAAATATTAACTAGATTTATTCATTACAATCTGGATAAAACTATGTTAGCCTGATTCAATGTACATCAAAATGTATGTTATGTAAATCCAAAGGACAAACAATGAGAGACGTATGCAACAAACATACATTGTTTGTACCTAAATAACTATAATATAGATGAGAGCATGTCATTGTTTTGTTCCTGTTAACATTGTCATTGATATTTTTCAAGAAAGTCTATGAGGCATAGCTTATGCATTCCTGTCATTACTACATAAGCATAATTACTGCTAAAATAATTCTCAGTACGATATACCTCTTGTAAGAAATCATTATAATTGTAGCAAGCACCAAAAAATCTCAAACAGATCACATTGAATCGTAATCCAAAAAATTATGACGTCTTGAATTAACCACCCCCTTTTATTCTAAAACGATAATTGCGGTTGTAAACTGACTTTGGTTTATTCGCATGGCGATTACATATATCACTATATATTTTAAAAAGAAAATAGAGTTTTACCATGAATAGTTTCCTGCACGTAGTCTTTTTCAGTAAAATGTGCCTTGCAAACAACAGCTGATTGAGATGGACTCCACGATTTCATCGTGTTCTCGTCCAATCTGCGTATGGGCCATGGCGTTGATCCAACTTTTCCTTCTTTTTAAGTCATTTGGAAATGCATGTCCTCCTCTTAAATGACATCCAGGTACACAACAACAAGTACTTGGCATCGTTAATTAAAAATGCAACTGTAATAGTTGCACAGTGCAGAAACCGGAAGTTGAAGTACAGGATCGGCTACCACGGCGCCACCTATTCAGGAACGATAATTTGCTACTTTATATAACTGCGAAATAACAATAACGTTAGACGGGTTCGCGTGCATAAACAGAAATGCGCTTTAAATTGTATAATATAATTCATGTTCAGTCGACCTTTAATTATTATATCAACGACTGAAATGATTTATAAACATCTAGATTGCAGAAAACACTCGAAATTAACCCGAGCTCTTTCCACAAGGAATTCAAATAATTCTAGTTTGTCAATCGGTTGACTGCTTATAATGTAAAATACAAATATATCAAAAGTTTTTAAAACTAACAAAACACAATGATCGTTTCTCTATTTCCCAATGTAAATGAAATGAGACAAAAAACATTTTATACCACAATAAGAAGAGGAGAGAATCAACATTTTCCGGATCTACTTGGAGCTAAATGACCCCCCACGTAGATAAGTTGGATATCGCGGAAAGAAATATTAACACGGCAACTAGAAAGGCATTAAAGCACTGCCTTTAAAAATGCTAAATCTTACTAAAATCCTAGAGAACTGCCTGCCGGTCATTAGGTCTAGCACAAAAGCCCAATTTGCCGGACCTGCTCAATTTCTGCCCCTTCGGGCCGACAGGTCCGACGATTAGTTGCATCTCTGTAACTCTAGAACTGTAAAAGTGACACCACCAAAATTCAAACTTGATCTAGTTTTGTGGTAATAAGCAATGTGTATAAGTTTCATAGCATTTAGTTGAGACAAACTAGAGTAAGAGAACAGAAACTAACAATTAAGCAATTTTTCCATTTGTAAAGGGGCATAACTCTAGAACTGTAAAAGTAACGCCACCAAAATTCAAACTCGATCTGTGTTTTGTGGTAATAAGCATTGTGTATAAGTTTCATATCATTTGGCTGAGGCAAACTAAAGTAAGAGAACAGAAACTAACAATTAAGCATATTTTCTATTTGTAAAGGGGCATAACTCTAGAACGGTAAAAGTGACGCAACCAAAATTCAAACCTGATCTGTGTCATGTGTATAAGTTTCATAACATTTGGTTGAGGCAAACTAAAGTTAGAGAACGGAAACGAAAATTCAGCAATTTTTCCATTTGTAAAGGGCATAACTCTAGAACTGTAAAAGTAACGCCACCAAAATTCAAACTCGATCTGTGTTTTGTGGTAATAAGCATTGTGTATAAGTTTCATATCATTTGGCTGAGACAACTAGTAAGAGAACAGAAACTAACAATTAAGCAATTTTTCTATTTGTAAAGGGGCATAACTCTAGAACGGTAAAAGTGACGCAACCAAAATTCAAACCTGATCTGTGTCATGTGTATAAGTTTCATAACATTTGGTTGAAGAAAACTACAGTAAGAGAACGGACCAATTTTGGGATGTACGGATGGAAGGACAAGGGTAAAACTTAATGAACCTCCACTACGGTGGGGGCATAAACACACCATACATTTTAGAAATCACTGCTACATAAGCTTATATTTGCTATCAGAAGTGCAAATGGCAAAATCAAAAGCTCAAACACATCAAATAGATATAAGAAGATGTGGTATGAGTGCCAATGAGACAACTCTCCATCCAAGTCACAATTTGTAAAAGTCAACCATTATAGGTCAAAATACAGCCTTCAACACTCTTTGCTACACACAAAACACTAAAATTGAAGTATAAAGGAGGTTATGAGTGACATAAGTTTAATTTTACAAGTAATAGAGAAAAAAACTGACAAGAGTCAAATTACTGAGAACGTCCATGATTAATGACAAGGTGCTGTTAATTAAGTATTTTGGCATTACATACTTTTTATTTTTTTTAAGTTTAACTTTAATTTACAATTTTATCAAACATGTTATTGTTCTTTCTTTAGCTGTTCCACAAGATCACATACCTACATGTAGAATAGAGTATGGGAGACATAAAAGGTATATCATTCATGTAAAAAAGCACTATATTTAAGTAAGCTAAAATTTGACAAAAATATGGTATTTCTACAGACCCAACTCAGCACTTATCATACCAACAAAAAAGACTCAACTAAGTGCTGAAAAAACTTTAAAGTCTTATCCATATGACCTTTCAGTAATGTTCCAGACCTTACGCCTCTTCATTTCAAATGAATATGATATATTTGACACCACAATACAAAAGTATGTATTGCATTTAGTGTTAGATCAGCATGGCCCGGTAAAGGAGATTGCAAACAGCAAACAAAAGTTTAAAACAGGCCCTATAGTTCCCTTATTTTGTAAACTGAAGAACTTGTCAACCATCTTATTCTATTATATAAGAAACACTGACATGTGTACTGAAGCTCTTACAGATGTAATCATAACATCTCAATTATCAATTATGTTTGTTTAAATTATTATTATAATACAAATGAAATTTAATTCTTATTTTGGACAACGTGTGGAGTCCTAGACAAACTGTGTTGACACATTCACAAACGTTAAGATAATTACATTTCTACCTTTTGATGTGTTCGCTGTCCAGCCAATCAACAATTAATGCCTTCAGTTAATTATTGGTCATTAATTAATCGATCAATTTGGAAGTGTGTTGAGATAATTGCATACAAATTTCCACTGTACTGTGTATGGCGACAGAATGACTGAGAACCGAATCACTCAGATACAATCCTTTGAATTAATGCTCATCCGGAAGTAACATCTCATTTCCCGTGATTTTAAGAAAACAATACTTTTGATATTATACTTAATAGTAGTCAGAAACTTATATCTAAACATATCATCGACATAAAATATACTAAACTTGACTTTAATTCATAAATTTTATCGGGAAAGTTACTATGACTGCCGAACTCATTTTAAGGCGGATAGATTCTAAACAAGATTTGTGATTAGGGGGCACTGGCGACAGGTTGACGGCTTCTAATAAATTCAATCCAGTCCTGATAAATATGCACCCATAGCTCTATAAAAGGTCAGAAAAACACACGCCAATTGTAAAAAATAAAATGTAGTTTATACATTTTCACATTGACAATTTTACCTGTTTCTGTTTGGTGTAACTCAGTAAGTTGTTTCCCGTAATATGTTCTTACCTCCCCTTTCAGGGATTCCCCCTCTTTAAATAGATAAACAAAGATTTGCACGTGGTTTATTGACAGAAAATAAAGGCATAAGGTTGAAAGTTTGAACTAAAAGATCGTTGCTTGATCGTGGTTTCCTTACATAATATTTCAACACCGTTTAACTTCGTTCAAAAAACATTTCAGGGTGGAATAAAACAGCTGTTGTATAATAACATTAATCATGTCCAAATAGTTTTTTTAGTCTAGAAAGGTTGTTTTATTTTTTTGCCTCTTGAAAGGCTATTTATTTTCTTGCTGTGGTCACAGCAAAAAACTGAAAAAGCCTTTCAAGACATCATAATTATTTGGACTACTCTGTAATCCCAGTCATTATAATAATAATATGAATTATAGTCATTTTGTTCCATAACAATAAGGCACTGGCTACAATTACGTTGAAAATGAACAATAACTTAATAGTTATAGTTAAGTTGGACACTAATTGCCAGAATGCTAGGTTGGGTTAGGAACCGATTAATTACGAACGTAACAATGATATTATTTGTGTCTGTTTCAACATTTGTTCAACATAATCGTAGCTAGTGCCTAACAATAACCATTTTACCCAGAAGGTAGACATGCATGTATCATTTTCCATACTATATAGGAGTCTTCTGTATATGCTTGCCAATATATAGGCCATCTGCAAGTATTCCATTCTGTACCATGTACACCACCACAGTGTATGCAATATTAGCATATAAATCGCCTGCACATGATTGATTTGGTACAATTTATTCCACCTAACTGTATGCCATTGTGTACCAATTTAGGCATACTATGCCTGAAGAATATAACCTGATATTGAAGTATACTAGTATTATTGGCTGTAAAGAATTAGTTCACAAGTTGTTACTTTTTAAAATCTTGTGAAAAAATTATAGTCATTAGATTTTAAAATGTTGCTTTGGGTGCTGGACAGGGATTTTCTGAAGGGGACACATTGAAACAGTATACCGTAAGTGCTTGTTAAAAAATTGAAAGAAAAAATAAAGAGTAGTCAGGGGAAAAAAAAATCTGTATTATACTTAAACACTCCATTTGGCCTAGCATATTATATTACCTTTGATTATATATCATGTATATAATTGATATGATGCATTGATCTTATTTATTGTGTTTAATAATAAGTACTGTTTTATTTTGCAGATTCTGGTTGAAGATGATAATGTACTAGATAGAATATGGCTTCCAACATAATATATCTCCACGGAAAAGTGGTTGATGATGAAACAATTTTAGTTCCATTGTCGTCTGCTGCCCTTCTGTTTGTTGTTCAATACTGCAGCCCTGAATCATTTAGTTTAAAATTTTCAAAGAGAAATTTGGAAGAAGGAAAATGTTTTAAAATCAGTTGTGATAGTTTAGATAAAACAGAGTATGTGTTTGACATCGAGGATGAACAAGACTGTACACTTCCAGTTATACGACAGATAGATGATATATGGGTTAGATCAGGGTTATGTGGAACCATAAGATATATCGTGTCACAGGCACATGATGACAGACCGCAAGAGCATCTAGACGATCTTTTGGTATGGGTTATTCATAGCTAAATTCTCTTTCTCAACAAGAAAAATTCTTTATAAAAATTTTTATCAGGATTATCTTTGATTGATAAGACAAATTATCTGGAGTTTTCTTTTTTCATCAACTTCAGCTATTTTGAAAGTTTGAAAATATTTCATATTCAGCCTCATCTCAAAGGTTGGATAAGAAGTGATAACACCTGTACTTAAAGTATTTAAGAAACTTTCAAATCCACAAAATACATTTATTGATGCAAATTTTTTTTTGGTTTTCTTATCATTTAATTTCAACAGTTTTTATTTTTTTTACATTTTTGTTTGAAGCACTTCTTTTAAATTGTGAGTTATTAGTTGATTTTTCCTGCATTCTTTTAAGAATTACTTTGAAAGTAATGCTGTTGCATAAATAAGATAAAATTAGAAACTAAAGATTGTAAATACAATATCTCTTTTACCAAGTTTTCCCTATCTCTCACAATATACAAAGAAGAAAGAAAATAAATGCCAAATACAGATATATAGAAAACATTTGTTTGCTCTTGTTACTTGTGGACATTACTAAAAAATTATTTCTTAAAACATCTGTATTAAAATTTCATTATAATTTTTTGATTTCTATCTCAAATATAAATTCTATATTTGATGTAGATTTTGAGTTATGGAAATGGTAAAATTATGCTTTTTAATCTTTTTTTATATAAATAACTTGTACCAGAAGCCAAGATGAAATCTCTTCATGATCTTCGGATATTGATATTATTCTATCAGCTAAGAACAGTTATCATGGTTATAATCCAATTTGTTAAGCATTTTGAAAAATGGCAGTTTATAATTCTTCCTGATAGTTACATATATATTATACCATACATTAAAATATGAATTTTATTAATGCTGAGCTATGAAATTATTCTTTATTACAAATAATGCTTTAACATTTCAAGTAGAATAAGCCAATTAAAATTCTGGAAGTTTTCCACTCAGAGCCAATTTTTCGACACATGGTATGAATTGATAAGTGTTTCCTGTCATTGTTATATAGTTACATTGTAATTTAATTAGAAAAAAGGTGATTCATATAAGTAAATCCACTTTGGATAAGCTTTCAAAAGTGATTATATTTCACGATAAGTCTTTTTCAAGGATCTGATTTTAATGATTTGATCATAAGATGTAAACAATGTAAATATTACACATACATTTTTTTAAATGCTGGCAGATATCATACTTCTAACTATTCATTATTATAGTGTTGTATATCATAATAAATACAGAATTATATATTTGATTTGTCTCTGATAGTGATTTAAATAATTGACCATTATGAAATAGATATATATATATATATATACTTGGTGGCCTTGGGCTGTTTTCTGCTCTTTGGTCGGGTTGTTGTCTCGTTAACACATTCTCCGTTTCCATTTCTATTCTACTTTAAGATATTATAATACAACGATGTATATATCTGGTGGAAAGTTGTCTCTTTGGAAATGATTCCATGCGGCATCTTATTTTTATATTGAAAAGGTATCGCTTGAATTGTTTTGAGTATCTTTTCTATTTTGATTGCTCTCCTCATTTTTTCTAGGTTTATTAAGGGCAAAAATGGGATGCATTGAATTTTAGTTTGACGATGATTTTGTAAAATATAGAAAATAATTTATGAATCAAAAAGTTTGGAAACATTCAGTCAGTGATTACATGTACATTTGTACATGTATGTCCCTGTGATGTCATAATTGACTGTTTCTGAAATTAGATTTGAAGTATTCTGGCTAATATTTTTCTAAAGCATACACCAAAACATTGTATTGGTAAACAGTGTTCTGAACAATAGATTTGTGGCCGATGTTGTGAACTTATTTTCAACTTATTGTATGACCAAGCCAATGTTTACTTGATGAGGGGTCAGTGCATATTGGCTTTATTGTTTTATCATGACCAATATGTGAGCAATGACATTACCCATAATTCTCTAGTTTCTGATACGGCAAATTGTGAATTTTGATGTTGAAAATATTAATCTTATACTGATTTTTGCTTTGATAGACCAACATAGTTTTTATGATGCTGTGTATTTCAGCCTGGCATATGCAACTGTTTATAGCAAATTGACTGGTACAAAGGTGTGGTCAAATGTGTTGAAGAAGATTGTCAGCTTTCAGAATGCAGCTTATTTGGCTTAAACATGGAATAATATAAAAATTTGAAGCTATCTGCAACAGCATTGTAAACAGAAAAAACGTTATTTTATATTTGCATCAATTTGGATATTAATTCTTAATGCTGGAATTTAACTCTTAATATCAATTTGTTATGCAAATTTTAGTTTTTTTCTGTCTTAACTGCATTAATATGCCATAAGTAACGATTCATTTTAACATTTTTTCCTAGGGATTCAGAGGAGGTAGTTTGAAAGCTTGTGCTGAGGTAAGTTTTAATCCATTTTTTAAACTATATGCAAGTATCATATCTTGTTTTCACACATTTATGCAATGATTATACAATAGCTTAATTCTATCATGCAAAAATTTGAGAAAAATTGCTTCCTGTCAACTTGCTATTAAGCCTATTTTCAGATTTGTTACTCTAGAGTTATGGAACTTTGATTTTATTGATTCTTACTTTTACTTTTTGGCTTTCAAGATGGCCTTTACCAATTTTAGGGAAATTTTAGATGTTATGATTGATGAATGTAAAGTCTTTTTATATACATGTACATTGTACATGTTAAATCTTGGAAAAGGTGAAGCATATCTTTTATGATTGTTCTCACTCATTCACTGTGAAATTTATTACACTTTTTATATAATGACAGCATTGTTATTTAAGTAAAGTCACCTGAAACAATTTGACATTTTTAGAATTGATGGGGATAGATAATATTTATCATTTGAACATCTAGAAGTACAATACGAATACAAGGATGATTTTATGGTAAATAAAAAAATGATATATTATCCAATCAAAGTGAGTGTACACCCTCAACATCCCCCCCTAATCCACAACTGCTTGAAGTAGACTTCACATCATGATACTTCCTCTTATCCAAATTTTTAACAAATTTTTGCATAGTATATGATAAGTATGTATTATTTATATTAAGGTCTCTGGTTGGACAAAATTATGTGAAGTAGAGCTACCAGATACAGTTGCCCAACTTGTTAATAAAATAAGGTACATATACAATGTAGTTTTAAGAGTTATCTGACACAGTTACCCAACTTGTTAATTAGATTGATATTTTAGTAATTTTCAATTCTTTGACTTGATGAATTTAGTACTACAAGACACAGTAACATGAAGTAAAGTTACCAGACAGAGTAACCTAATTTGTAAATTGCAACAGTTCAGGAAACCAGTGATTCCTAGTTTTTAGTTTAAGATGGTATATTAAGACTTCATTCTTTACCCTGAAATCAGAAAATGAAAAAGGTACCTAGTCCATAAATATAGGAATAATAAGTAATCAAAATGTACAAGACATTAGTCTCTTAGTCATCATAAATAGTCTGTTAGTCATCATAAATAGTCTCTTAGTCATCATAAATAGTCTCTTAGTCATCATAAATAGTCTCTTAGTCATAAATAGTCTTAGTCATCATAAATAGTCTTAGTCATCATAAATAGTCTATTAGTCATCATAAATAGTCTCTTAGTCATCATAAATGGAAAATGATGGTATCTGGTGGGGGAGGCAATAACAGATGGGATGGAGTAAGGAAGGACAATAAAAGAATGTATGAGGAGGGATTAAAAAAATGTATTGTGTGGGGGGAGACAATAAAAGTGAGAGATGAAGTATTTTTGGGCAAGGAGATTTTTTTTCTATCCAAGGAAATTTAAAAAAAGTTATGTTATAAATCATGCCAGTACCAAAGCACTGACCATTGAGCTGTTGATACCCTTGTGGATTATTGGTTTATATGTTTTACAGGAATGAGGAGTCAACAATATATTCTCTACCAGAGGACATAATGAAATTAGAATGGCATTTCTTAAAACCAGCAAAAATACACAATGATGATAAAACCAAAAGACCTTTTCTAAAACAAATTCAGAAAGAGGCTGATAATCTGGTAACTGATGAAGATGTGTCAGAGTTCCAGTACAACAGGGAAATACACAATCCACATGGTGTGACAAAGTTTTATGTTAATGTAAACTCTGTATCAGAAACAGTTCGTTCTGAAAAAAAGAACAAAAATTTAGAATTTGAAAAGAAGAAGAAGAAGAAAAGCAACTCTGTGATAAATGGTGGCAGTGATGTGGAAAATCTTCAGGACAATAGCAGTGTTAATAATTTGAAAAATTTGTTGAAGAAGATGACTATCGATAATCTTGAATTTTCTCATTTATACTCTGAAGGGATTACAATTACAATGGCCGACCTTATACTTTATACAAATATCTATCATTTATTTGTAAGTACATTATATTTTGTAGATTTTACAAGTTGTGCTGTTCATGATATTGACATACAATAATTACATTTTATTATAAGTGGTGCCCAAGGAGTAATCGAGGTAATGGAGGGCTGTATTTTGACGTTATCAAACGTTACAGAACTTGCATGTATCAGTGATTATTTGTCATCATAGAATTTTGTTAAAAGTGTCTCAAAATGTAAGAAACATGTTGTATAATTGTATATCCTAGGTTAGATTTCATGTTCATGTAAAAAAAGGTATCCTTTAAGATTTGTTTGGAACATGGACTTCCATATTGTGCATCAGAAATATTATGGAAATTCAGACATGGAAGTTCACTGTTTAATAATTTGGGTAGGTTTTCTAAGGCAAAATTTACATATCACTGGTAATTTTTTCATGCGCTGTAACTATCAAAATACAATATAGACATGTCGCACTATAAATTTCACAACTCCATGATGGATCCTTAATCTTCCTCTGTTTAGTTGATTTTAGGGATACATTAATATGCGTCAAGTCTGAGATAGTGTGTATTGAAATGTTTGTATGGAAATAATAAAATTTCAATAAATTATACTTGTCATATTTGTACAGAAATATATATTATCCATTTTATAAGTGATCATAATTTTAAACCTTTTTTTTCTAGGAAAGTTTAGATTTTAAAATAGTTTCAGTACAGCACCATTTACAACATATTATCACATGGTTTGATCACATGACCAGCCTTCCCAGAGTTCATCAGACAGCCATTCAGTGTGGATACAAACTTGGGAAGCTTACACAGAACAGAAACATGACTAGTCCGATAGAGTTTACTGTTGAAGAAGGCCTATTTGAAAAGATAAATGAGGATGAAATGGAATTAAGGTTCTTATACTAATATGATTTTTGTCGAGCCTGCGACTTCTGTTGCAGAAAGCTCGACATAGGGATAGTGATCTGGCGGGAGGCGTTAACTAGTGACTAAAAATCTTAATATTTCAGAAGGTAGAATACCTGGATGCTTCATACTTTGTATATAGATACCTTTTGATATGAATTTCCGTCTGTCATATGTTCATTGTCCTTGACCTCATTTTCATGGTTCAGTGACTACTTCAAAAAAAGTTAAGATTTTTTGTAATGTTAATTTCTCTTTTATTATGAGTAGTAGGATAACTTTATTTGGTATGTGCGTACCTTGCAAGATCTTCATGCCTGTCAGACAGTTTTCACTTTACCTCGACCTCATTTCATGGATCAGTGAACAAGGTTAAGTTTTCATGTTCAAGTCAATATTTCAGATACTATAAGCAATGGGGGGGTAGGAACTTTATCGGGACTCTGGGATCGGGTGTTTTTAAGCTTGGGATTTCGGGATTGATCTTTTCGGGAACCGGGAATTCTTGTTTCGAATTTCGGGATGTTGGGATTTAAATTTTTTTTAATTCGGGACCTCGGGATTCCATGTTTTTAAGCCCAGGATTTCGGGATCAGGACCCCTCCTACCCCTCCTCAGCAATAGGTCTACTACATTTGGTGAATGTATTGATTGTAAGGTGTACATGTCCAACTGGCAGGTGTCATCTGACCTTGACCTGATTTTCATGGTTCAGTGGTTAAAGTTAAGTTTTTGTGTTTTAGACTGTATTTCTAATACTGTATGCAATAGGCCAACTACCGGTATATTTGGTGTATGGAAATATTTTACGATGTACATGTCAGTCTGGCAGGTTTTATTTGACCTCGACCTCATTTTCACGGTTCGTTGCTCAATATTAAGTTTTTTGTGTTTTGGTCTGTTTTTTCTAATACTGTATGCAATAGGTCAGCTATGGTGTATGGAAATATTTTACCATGTTCATGTCAGTCTGGCAGGTTTTATTAAATCTTGACCTCATTTTCATGGTTCATTGCTTAATTTTTTGTGTTTTGGTCTGTTCCTCTTAAACTTTAAGCAAAAGGTCAACTATATTTGGTGTTTGGAATGATTGTAAGGTGTATATGTATGTCTGGCCAGTATCGTCTGACCTTCACCTCATTTTCATGGTTCATTGGTCAATGTTCAGTTTTCCTGGTTAACTTTATTTCTTAGATACTATAAGCAATAGGTCAACTATATTTGATGCATGGAATGATTTTAAGGTGTACATGTCTGTCTGGCAGGGTTCATCTGACATTGACCTCATTTTTATGGTTCATTGGTCAATACAAAATTTCCATGATTTGGTATGTTATTTTATACTATAAGTACCGGTAATGAGTCATTTATATTTGGTGTATGGAATGATTGTATTAAAGGTGTACATGTATTTCCGGCTTGGTTTATCTGACCTTGACCTCATTTTTTTTTTATCATAAATGTTAATGTGATACATTTTTGTACTTGTAAAACTTTATATTTAGGACTATCAACATAAAATCAATGGTCAGTATAGTAGGCGAGACATTTCAGAGTGTGCATTCTTGTGTTAACTATGTTTAAAGTTCAAAGTTTTTTATGCACTATATCTAATCAGAACTATTTCTTTGTCAAAAGGAGACAGTTTACTATAAGAGTCACAATTTTAACCTAAAAAGACAATAATACCTTTTACTGGTACTTGATATAAATTTTAATTTCACGAATATATATTTAAATAATGAATAATAAGAGACGAGGAATAAAGATCAGTGAGACTACAAGCTAAACAAAACAAGTAGACCAAAAGAAATATTGAGAGTGCCCGTGGTACTTGATATATTATTTCAGCTAATGCTTATTATGATTTGCTTTGTCTAAATCTTGAACTTTGATAATTTTGCTGCAAAGAGTAAATAAGCCTTAAAAATTTCCTTATTACTGATCTGTTGTCTAAAGGTTGGAAAAGTTGCAATCTTAATTCCCAGTTTCAGCATTATTTCCTGATTTATTTAAAAAATTAATTTTATAGAATTTTCATGTTTTTCTTATTTCAGTCGTAGGTGTAGAGGAAAATACAGACCAATTAAACCAGATGTATGGAGTGCCTTAGATAAAGTTGTGGTTGGTGATTATTTTTACTGTTATTTGTCATGTTTGATTTTTGTCTCACCTTGACGGAGTCAAAAAGCGAGACATAGGTATGCTGTTTCCAGTGGCGGCGGCGTCAACAATGTATTAGTTTGTGATTAGGTCTAGTTTATGGTGAACCACTAGTGTTAGGTCAATGATATTTGGTATGCAGTTGTATAAGCATTGGCACATATCATTTCCATGGAGATTATTTGGCCCCATCCCCTAAGTCATGGTCTATTGACCTTGAAACTTTTGCTTAGTTTACATGTATTAGTTTGTGATTAGGTCAGTTTAAGGGGAACCATTAGTGGTAGGCCAATGTTAATTGGTATGCAGTTGTATAAGCATTAGCACATCTCATTTCCATGGAGAATATTTGGCCCCACCCCCTCAGTCATGGTCTATTGATTTTGAAACTTTTGCTTAGTTGACATGTAATAGTTTGTGATTAGATTAGTTTAAGATGAACCGCTAATGTTAAGTCAATGATATTTGGTATGCAAATGTATTGGCATTTGCAAGTCTTGTTTACATGGAGATCATATAGCCCCACCCCCTCATCATGGTTCATTGACTTTGAAACTTTTACATAGTTTACAAGTTTATGTTTGTTTAAAGGGAACGATTTATGATAAGTCAATAGTATTTGGTATGCAGTAATTGCAGTTGTATTAGCATTGGCACATCTCATTTTCATAGAGATTGTTTTGCCATGTACCTTCAGTCATGGTTCATTTACATTGAATATTTGCATAACTTACATGCTAAAGTATTGCTATTTTAATTTCAACATTTGCATTTTCAAAATTACAAAAAAGGCGAGACATATCTTTGTGTTAACAGTTTATTAAATAATTCAGCAGTTATTTCTATTCATTCTAAAAGCTTCAGAATCCATTCTTAATAAAATCTGCTTTTAGAGAGTTAATGTCAATGTTTACCCAGCTAAAAAGATGGAAAAAAATATTAGGTAACTTTCTTACTGAAAGTGGCTTCAGTGGCCAAGTGTTGGAATTATTTCATCAACAAGGTTGTGAGTTTGATATATAATCCTGGCAAGATACTTTCTACTTGATCTTAATTGACTAGCATTGCCAGTTTTCCTGCAGAAGGTTAGATGTTCTTTCTAGGTATTTTTTAGTCCCCTACGGACAAAGTCAAAGGGGACTTTAGGTTTGCACTCCATCCATCTGTCTGTCTGTCTGTCTGTCTGTCTGTCCTTCTGTCAGTCCGGCAAATCAGCATTCCACACTTTTTTCTTCATGCTTGAAGATATTGATTTGATATTTGGTATATTGTTTTATCATGACAAGTTACAGATCAAGTAAGAATTTTGTTCCGGTCTGATAATTTAGTCCAGAGTTATGGACCATAACTCTGGACCATATCTAATGTAAAACCATATTTCTGTACAAAGGGAGATAACTCATTTTTTAAAAGACATTCATTGTTGAATTATTTGAAGAATTTTTTAGCAGGTTTGTTTGTTATTTAGTATAAACTAATTTTCTGAATGCTGTATATATATAAAGAAAAATTTATGAAGAGAAATCCTTTAATTAGATAATAATCTATTTTTATTAATGTATATATTTCAATACATTACATTGTGTAGATAAATGTTGTTGACATTTTATAGATAAGTTACAAATCTATATTAGTTTGTGACAAATGAAAGAAAAAATATTTGAAACTATTAATTATATTTGATTATAATTTGAAAATAGATATACACTGTATTACATCATATCTAATTTTAGAGAACTATTAAACATATCTAATGTTTTTTTTCACTCATATAATCAGTTTTCCACACTGTTTTTAGTCATGCTTGAAGATATTGACATGATATTTACTTTTTGTTTACACCATGACAAGTTATAGAACAAGTTAGCATTTTGTTCCAGTAAAACAAATTTTTACCCGGTAGGGGACTATGTATTGCCATGCAATACTCCCAGAATGCTTGTTGAATTTTGTATGATGCCAAAAACACTGTAACTTTTGAAACTAAAATGTTCTCATATAATGTTTGTCCTGAAAGTATAAAGATAAAGAATTTATCAATATTTTGCTTTTAGAAAGGTGAAATCAAGATTGAAACGGGAAGACACCCAAGGGGAGATAATACAGCTATTTTATGGTCTGAAGTACCAGAAGGTGTTGATCCTGGGTTAGGTAAGACATCCATGGGGGGATACTACAGCTATTTTATGGTCTGAAGTACCAGAAGGTGTTGACCCTGGTTCAAAGAAAAGCTGATACAGCTACTGTGTGCTCAGGAATATTGAAACATGAAGAGCAAAATAAGGATGATCTTTTATTATTTATCTTGAAAACAAATTTAAATCAACAACTATGGTATACATGGTTACAACTAGAAGCTATAGGTGCATTGTGTTGGTGCGAAATATCTAGAATGAAAAGATATATGCATCAATATACCTCTGTTTATCACTTTTTTGGGGGTGTAAAATTGACAACTACATGATGTTGTTTTCAAACTTACTTATTTTTTTAATCAGGAAGACTCATTGCCAAAAGTTGTTTAAACACATTTGAAAGTATGTATTTTCAAATTATATGAACAAACTAAACTATCTAAATGGACTTATTTTAAACTTTAAACTAAGAGACCTTAGTTTTGGGGGAAAATAGTTGAAAAGGACGATGTATGATAAGGGTCATTTTTGGCCCCCTTTCAGAACCAGTTCATATTCATACCACCAATAGCCCTTGGGCATGTACTACAAAAAATAACAACTTTTATTTGTTCCCGTGACTTATTGGTTGCCTAGCAACCGATTTCTAAAATCAAACTTGCAGTGTCTGTTTTTCGTCAAAAAATCTCTTTTTTTAATGATTTTTTATGGTTTATTATGTTAAATTATATTATATTGATAATCTATATAAGGTTTTCTGTTTCCTTCAACAAAGAAAATAAATGTATTATGCATAGCAACTACATAACACAGAATATTTTGCTTAGAAACCATACTATTGCAGGCATGTAATGTGTGTATTTGCTCAAACAAGTTACATTAAGTGTATGACAACAACATAGTATTATTTTAAACAAGCTAGTATGTTCCATGCATCTCTTTCAGACTAGTATTTTGCTTTGAAACTACCTAGCAACGTGGATTTTGCATAGCAACCATACTATTTTAGGCATCAGGGGTTCAAATTAACATTTGGTACTGGAAGGTCCAGGACCTTTGACACTCCAAACTGAAAGGTCCACAATCTAAATTCCAGGTCCTACTTTTACTTGAAATATTTCCTAACATAGTAAGATACAAGTAACAAAATTAATGTGCTGTTGGTGTTAGGTCAATTTGTTTCATTGTCAAAGTCACTGTTGTATAAAATATTTAATAACAATTGTAATTGTCTTGTATATTATAAATTCAGATAATCTTTTTTTTTTTTATTGAGGAGGGTGTCACCTTGGAGGGGGGTGTTGTCTCAACTATTGGTAATTTATTACTACTTATACCATTTTATAAAACAGTTCAAATTCAAAGCTGTTTAAGCAGAGACGTATATACATGTGTAAATATGTCTCTGGTTTAAGTGTATCATATCTAGTTGCACTATTATAATGCATTAGTTCCTCTGTGAAAATAAGATAAGAAACTTCCAGATTTGTACTGGTCCTTTAAAATTGAGAAGACATTACCTCTTGGAATTGTAGTAATACGTTTACACTATACAAAAATCTACATGTAATATCAATATTTATTAATGATAAAGAACATTACTGTCACATTTTTTTGGATTTTGAGATGAAAATTTATGAACTAAAAGTAATTTTGAGTTTCTGTAAAAAAATATTTCCTACCTTTTCTTTCTTTTCAATATATCTTTTGGTTTTCAATTCTAGTGTTTATATTTTATCATCATGATAGATGTATTTTGTCAACTGCCTGGAATTATTATTTTTTCATTGTATTTGATCGGCAAACCCGGAATTACCATTATCCGCTCCGTAATCGGATCCGTTTTTTGTTATTTTCTTCATTTCCGGTTTATGGCATCCAATGTTTTTCAATGTTGTTTTGTCAGTCAGATACGATTTTACTCGGATTTACACATTACTAGTTGGCAATTTTCGGTATAAAGCTAGCGGTTGAACAAAATGAATAATAATGATGAAAATAAATTTTGAGATTGTTTGGAAATTTTTGTTTAAAAAGGTCGGCAAAGTTTATTTTTATTTTCTTTCAAACCGAAAGTCCGTCGGGCGTAGCTTGTAACCAAAACGAGAGTCCGACTGCAAAAATGGAAGGTCGCGGACCTCGTACCACCGCTAATTTGAACCCCTGGGCATTTAAAGTATGTTTTTGCACACACAACCTAAGTCGCACGACACAAATAAATAATTCATATATACTGGCTAGATTTTCCGATGAACCAGTTTTAGATTGGTATTTCCCATAAAAAACTACCTAGTAACGTGTATTTTCCATAGCAACCATACTATTTCGTGCATTTAATGTATGAATCTGCATATAAAACTTACATTTGGTGTTTGACAACAACATAGTATTATTACAAACAAGGTAGTTTGTTCCATGCATCAGTTTCAGACTGGTATTTTGCTCAAAAACTACCTAGCAACGTGTATTTTACATAGCAACCATACTATTTCAGGCAATTAAATATGAATTTGCACATACAATTTTCATTGCATGACAACAACGAACTATTCCTTCATCCAAGCTATATTTGCCTATGCATCAGTTTCAGATTGGTACTGTCATTTAAAACTACCTAGCAACGTCAATTTTGCATAGCAACCATTTTTTGTATTGTTATTTGTGTAGAAATTATATGATTGATTTCGACATATCCATGATTTTTCATAAAATTGAGAATGGAAATGGGGAATGTGTCAAAAAGACAACAACCCGACCATAGAACAGACAAGTATATAAGCGGCAGTAACTTTCTAAATGTAGCAGCATAACAATGTTTGTATCTTAGGATTTCTTCAGCATACTAGTATAGTATTTTTTTCTTAAAAGTCACTATAGGTTTTACATTAAGTGCATGCATGGTTGCAAAGGAAGATGTATTGTTACTATGCATAGTTTCAGCATTGCCTTTCTTTGTATGTCAGGGTTCTTTCCAGATTGGTCGGGTAATCGTGGTTGTCTTTTTTACATTATTTACTGCAGTATTTTAGGAAAATTCTGGGTTTTGTTTTTGTTAATTAAACTCACAATAAGAAACTGCAAACCTTCAGTTAACTTTTGTTTTCTGTTCATTCCTCAAAGAATCATTTTTGTTTACACAAATTCTATATAATAAATAAAGTGTCACATTTTCTGTGTATCCAAAATGTACTTTTTTACCTCTGTTTCATTACACAATTTTTTTAGAAGAGAGTGTTTTGTGTCATCCTATGAACTCTGTTTACCAGATTTCATTTGGTACTATAGAAAATAACCAAACCTTTAAAAACAAATATCATTTTAATTTTCCATACTATCATTGAAATGCAATAAAATAAATACATTATAAGTAACAGTGTCTGTCTGTCTGTCTGTCTGTCTGTCTGTCTGTCTGTCTGTCTGTCTGTCTACATTAAAATGATTATAAGTAACAGGGATATGAACTTACACACACACACTTTGCCTCTCTCTTTCTCTGTAAATCTCTCTATGTACCATATACTATCATTGAAACACAGTGTATTCAATCAAATAAAGTGCATCATAAATAGCAGGGATATCAACTTACACACACACACACATTGTCTCTCTCTTTCTTTATCTCTTGTTCTTTCTTTTACTCTTTCTCTCTTTTAAATAGAATTTCCTCCATGTATCATGAGTATTTTAAATAGATTATTTGTATAGTATTTGATTGTGGAATTTAAAAATTAACAAAATCAGAGTTAACTGAATCATACTTAAGCATGAAAAAATAGTCCCTCTCTAAAGTAAATGGACATCATTCACACACACTTAAATATACTCAAATAAAATTATTAAATGCAATTTGATAATTTTCAGAAAACGACTATAGTCAACAAGCAAAATCAAACATGATTTTTTTATGACAAAGACTTTGTTTTGAATGTCATAATTCCACTAATTAAATTATTTGTATTCATGTAATGACTAGAAACATGTCTAAATATGTGCAAATTCCAAAGAACTTTATGAAAAAAAATTGTCTGTGAAAGATTTATGGATAAATAGACTAGGCCATTAATGCAGTTATTAGAATAAAAAAATCAAAGGTCTATTCTGATTGAGGTCCATATTTTGTACCATATTAAAGTTCTTATAAAACCTACAAGTGACATATTTAAAAAATATTTTGGTTTTTCATGAAATATGCAATATAAATACAAGCTACCAGTATTTAGTTTTTAGATTTCCTGTTACAAATGGTTTTTATAAGAAATAGCATTTACTAATTAATTATTCAAGCTTTGTTGTCATCTGTAAAAGTTCCTAGCTATATATAGATTTCCCAATTTACAGGTAAATACTTTGATTTGAAGTTCTTATTTATAAATAAGGAGACAGATAATTATCAGATAACATATGAACTTCAAGCAATTAAATATCTAAATACAAATAAACTTCATCTATTTACTAATTAATGTTAATTAGGTTATACTGATAAGGAAACTATTGTCTACTCTTCAATACCAGCTGTTGATGAGGGATTATCTGACAGTGTACCGGTATGTGCATATGATATGGAGGTATTTCCTGATAAACGTGATGGCTTGAGACTTTTCATGTGCCTCTCTAGTCCCAAATACCACAGCACACTTGCCACATGTGCACAGCAGCCCACCATCCTAGCCCCAACTTTGCATGTGCAGTACCATCCATTTACAGGCTTCTCCTCACTTGACCCAGCATTGTAGTCAATCCATAATGTATGGATGGTAGATTTGGAATGTCTTGATTGAATTTTGACTTGCAGAAGAGTTTCAGATTCTTTGCAAAGTAATAGTTCATAATTTCCAGATTCAGAGAGATGTTCCCTTGTGTATCCTGGTGCCTGTTTAAGTTGGTATATACCTAAAGTGATATCCCTTAATATTTCCTCTGTCAGCTTTGGAAAATTTTCAAGTACTGTGCCAGAAGCATTAATTGGTAAGTAAACAGTTCTCCTTCTTATCAAGTTGTTCTCTTCTACATAAGTTTGCAAACTGTTCTGTAAGACAGAGCGGTCAAGCATCTTCTTAGCTACTTCTTCATGTTCAGGATTGCAGACAAGAGGTCGTTTGTACTTATTCAGTATACCACCAGTAATCTTTACTAAATCACCAATACTGGAAATCATGGTATTTGGAACCACCTTTTCAAAGAAATGAAACTGTTTCAATCTGGCATTTGTGCTTTCTACAACCCAGCGACATTTAGTAACTAAGCGAGTCAGATTAGCTTCGTTAGTTGTTAACTGCTTTTTCCCTTTTACCAGACAAACAGGCATCTTAACCATATACCCCTGATCTTCCAAGTACTGAACTGCATCCCTGAAGCCCCTATCCACAATGCAAATATCATCATCCTGCAACCATGCTGTTATGTTCTCCAAGTTGTTAGTTATGGCATGTTTTGTTATGGATGCATCGTTATTGTGGCCGTCTGCAAAATAAGGCCCTAAGATTGACAAGATATAGCCGTCAGTTCCTACAATTATCATTGGTTTGACCAATGGGCGGTGTTTGTGCATGCTGTAAGACATTCTCTGGAAATGATAATCACTACTTTTTTGTATGAAAATGTATGTGCCGTCGAGGACAATGACAGCTTGTCTTGGATCTGTAGTGAACAATTGCTTTGCTACTGGTGTTGTATGGTTTGTTACAAAATCTCCATGACTTACATGCTGAAAACCTAGTGTATGTGGAACGAAGGTTTCCATTAAAGTTCTTCTTGCTGCATGGATAATTCTCTGTACCTGAGATGTTTTCAACCCAAAGACTGTTCCAAGAATTTTATTTGACAAACCAACACGGAGCTTGGTAAGAAATACTCCAAGGCAAGTCCTTACTGACCTTACTCCAGAACTCCTAACAGTAGACATGTATCCCAGTAAGTCACTAAACTGATCCTTACTCAGTCCTGTCAAATCATTATAATTTTCTTCAGTCATGAGTGCAGGTATATCAAAATTCAAACGTGAAGATGTCATTTTCATTATTGTTCTTAAATCATTTAAGAGACCTGTTATGTCAGTACGAGAGAAGTATTCATGCTGTTTTGATGACTGTAAAACATCTAATGCTTTAATCTTAAAAAACCTACTTTCCATATGTATTTTGCAACATCGACTTTTCTGGTTAATGAAAATTCCTTTTTCAATAAATGATTGAGTTCTGGCTTCCGATGTTATTGTTACCAGACGATGACGCTTGTTTCCTTCTTTTTTACATACAATGCAGTACCTGTGTGTTTTCGGCGCGGATTTTATTTCTAGCCTAATGGACTTTGGTGATGTAAAAACATTAGCTGCACATGCTCCAGGAATATCTGCCACATTTTTTTCCCCTGAATTGTTTGTCTCAATTGAGCGAGATCTTATTGTTTTATTGCAGTTTTTTACTTGTTTATAAAGTTTTGCTGTGCAAGATGCACATAACCTGTCTGTTTCTTGAATACATCTCTGCAATTCATCTGTTAGGAATGTCTTTAATACACCACTGAAGCAGCGTCTTCTGTTATTTAGCTGGCATCTTTTCTTACAAAGACAGCAATTCACAGACTTTGTCATCTTGTAAAAATACTGGAATGAAAAAAAAATTATAAATGAAACACTGTGACCATTATGGACATTATGGACAAAAAGAATATATTAATTTTGGACCCCGATTTGCGCCAACTTGAAAACTGGGCCCATAATCAAAAATCTAAATACTTGTTTACATTCAGCATATCAAATAACCCTAAGAATTCAATTTTTGTTCAAATCAAACAAAGTTTAATTTTGGACCCTTTGGACCTCAATGTGGACCAATTTAAAAACGGGGCCCAAAAATCCAAAAACTTTACACGGTTAGATTCAGCATATTAAAGGACCCAAGAATTCAAGAATAAAACCTAATTGAAATTGGTCAAGAAATAAGCAATTTATACAAATATTGTTTTTGGCCCCTTTATTATGTTTGGATTACCTTGCTTACACTGCTTTAAAATTGTCTTAATTGTCCATTAACCAAGAAACCCTGGTTTTTCCCCCTGTTTTGCCCCTAATTCCTGAACAGTTATGGCCATAACCCCAACAATCAATCCCAACCTTCCTTTTTTGGTATGGAACCTTGTGTTACAATTTCAGAAAGATCCATACACTTACACACAAGTTATTGTCTGGAAACTAGAAAAATGCTTATTTGGACCCCTTTTTAGGCCCTTAATTCCTAAACTGTTGTGACCATAACCCCCAAAATCGAGCCCAACCTTCCTTTTGTGGTTTCAAACCTTGTGTTTAAATTTAATTGAAATCCATTCACTTAAACTAAAGTTATTGTCCGGAAACTAAGTGTCTTTGGACAACGATGACGACGACGACGTGATACCAATATACGACCACAAAGTTTTTTTGCGGTCGTATAAAAATTAGAACAGAAATATAGTGTTTAATTATTTAATAATCCGAGCAAGCTTTACACAGATATAGTCAATTGAAACCAATTTAATTTATTTGTTGTTTTATACAAGCTTAAGTAAAAACTGTCAATATAAAACACCATTCTTTTTCTGCTTTAGACATATTTATTATCGGAAAAATATTCATTCTGAATTTTCTAGTAAAAAACAATTAACAAATACTTACTGTGAGGTACTCATTTGTTTATCTACTATTCTACATCAGGCATAGGTGTTCTTTATATATGTTAAAGCAAAATTAACATTAATGGTACAATGTATCTATGGAGAAAATCTGAAAAGGAAAAATAAATATTTTACAAATATTAAACACAAGAAAAATTATGAAACAATTTGAAAACCAAAAATTTTACAACAGGGGTAGGGAAAATGTAAGAGTGCAAAAGTATTGACCTAAGAAATAAATAAATGTTGTAATTGACATAAGTACGTGCATGATGTTACTAAATACTATCTATATAATTTAAATAAATAAGCGGTTTTGATCTACATGTATATGAGAAAAAAAATTTTAATATAAACTTGTGTATATTTACAGGATACATATTTTCAAACTTTTTATTATGAATACAGCAAGTTTAATATTTGATAATAATGATGTTGATGAACTTGTGCGTGGTGTTTTATTTCAATAGCAAATATAACATGCTTATTAGGATGAGAATATTTTAATGAAGCACGAAGTTTAAACCGTGGCTTCTTTGTACTTTAAAAATGTACACTATTGTAAGGTTTACTTCTTTAGCATAGGCACTCAGTGGTGGGGAGAGGGTTTCTTATCAATTCAATAAAGGTCTGACTAAGATATCATGTCTAAAATCTTCAACAACAGACTCAACACTATCAAATGATGACCCCACTGCCAATGCCTACATACTGTATACATAATAGGTGCTTTAGATTGCTATGATGTGTTACTTTTGCAAGTTTTAATATAGTCTCAAACTCAACAAATATCAGCAAATACTTACGGTTACAATTCATCTTTAATTCATTACTTAATTCATTTCATGGCTTATTTGTTGTACATGGCATATTAATTCACACTCAAAACTTTTTGGAGACAATCTACAAAATAAATTAAATAAAATATTGATGAAAACCAAGTGCAGCAAGGGATTTATTATTAAAATAATCTTGAATGACTAACATTTGAATATTTCCAACATGGTGAAGGAAACCAATGAAAGAAAGTGAACCTAAATAAAAGAAACTTGTTTTTTTCATATCTAAGAACCACACATGTTAAACTATAATTTATATTTGCAAGTTTTAATATAGTATCAAACTGAACAAAAATTAGGAATAGCAAATACTTACGGTTACAATTCATCTTTAATTCATTTCATGGCTTATTTGTTGTACATGGCATATAAATTCACATTCAAAACTTTTTGGAGACAATCTACAAAATAAATTAAATATTTATGAAAATCAAAAACAGCAAGGGATTTATTTATTAAAATAATCTTGAATATTTCAAACAGGGTTAAGGAAAACAATGAAAGGAAGTGAACCTAAATGAAAGAAACTTGCTTTTTTCCATATTTAAGAACCACACATGTTTAACTTATTCATTTTCACCCACCTATCAAATTTTTGGTTTTTAGTCTCTTCTAAATTTTAATTGGGAGGCCAACTCCCAACCGTTTTGATTTGAAAAACAATGGTAAGTCTATTTTATTTGCAACATACATCTGGGAACAATTTGTCAACCTGAATGATCTTTGATGATTTTTTTTTTCAATTTAATTTATTAGATTCAGTTAACTTAGTATTTTTCTCTGTATGTTGCATCATGTGCATTTTATTCATGCCTGACTAAGAAATAATAGCACATTTTACATTAAGATATTGTCATTTCAAGAATTCAAGCACCGTTATGACAATTATTTGTTCTTCTGGACATTTTTTTCCAACAATACAATGCTCCAAATTGGGCAAAGTAAGAATTTTTAATTGGTATATATAGTCATACATTTACCTTCTTCCAAGTCAATAGGTTTACAATATTTACATAATTTGTTATTTGTTGTTGCAACATTTTATTGAATTTGTATTTTCTTCTTTTTATCTTCTAATATATATTATATAATACCCTATGAAATGATTTATGGTTGTATTATTTTATTTCTAACAAATACTTGAAAGAAATTACTTTTATACTGATCGCGAGGGGAGATAATCATTTTTAGAATCCGTACAAAAATACAAATTGTTTTTTTTTAAACCCGATGATTGACCATCTGGATGTCCAATTGCATTAACCACATTTACATTCGGAAAACAATTGATCTGCTAAGGCAATATATTTTTGCTTTCAAATTACAAGTATAACGTCTGCTCTGAGCATGAACGGCGGTGACCCCGAGTTTTTGTGAATTTAAACTGTTGGTTTGGAAGTATTTATGGAACCTATGCATTATCTCACGTAATGTTTGTAATATATATCAGTTTTTGACATACAACTATCACATTTACCACTCTTATCATAATTTATGCTTTGTAATAGAGAGCTAACATATGACGTCTGCTTTTTTCGTGAATTTATTTTATGATTTCTTTTGTTTCTTCTTGGAACTATTTAAGGAACCCGTGCCCACATGAGATTTATGATACATCTCTGTTTTTGCATGAATAAGTATCACAATTACCATTATATAATCATATATTATTACAGCAGCATAGTTTGTTGACTCTGATGATATCCAGCTTCACTGGCAACTGAAACCGGAAGTTGTCAGACTAAAATAAACTGCACGCAAAAATCAACGACTGTACATGATATTTTTTAAAGATTTTGCTATGAGCGCAGTTGAGAACATCTATGAAATTTGTATATAATGCCAATACTATATCATACATACCATATGTAAAATATCTTACATGTTCTCACTTGCGCTCATATTTAAATCATTCAAAGTAGAGTCGGAAAAGTCCGATTTTCCGTATAGACACCCGTTTATGGTTTATTCATAGTATTATTTATAATCGATTTCCTGCATAGCCTTGAAAAATAAGTTTATTTCAACAAAATACAAAACTTCAATAAGTTTTTATGGTCATTTTTGCCCCAGATATTGTTATTAATTTTTTTTGCATACAAAGGGGCCAAATACTGCACTTATCATACATCGTCCTTTATCGCCTAAATGTTTTTTTAGATGGTCAGCAACAACAAGTTTAATATTAAGACACTTTTAAAATGAGTAAGTTATGTCATGTTCTAGAAAACTGATAAATTTGTGCAATTGTAAAATTGGAATCCATAAAAAAATGTTTATAAAAAACTTTTAAAGGAGTGGTGCCAGTCAATCTGGCTGTTCTGTGTAAACATGTAATTATACCCCCGCTTTAAAAAAGTGGGGGTATACTGTTTTACCTCTGTCTGTCCATCCGTCCATCAGTCAGTCCATCAATCCATCAGAAATATTTTTCGTTGCATCTTTCTCAGGAACTTCAATACAAGGATTTCTGAAATTTGGTTTCATATAAGTCAGCTTTACCGTGCGATGCGTTTTCAGATTCATCACTCAACAACTTCCTGTTTACCGAACACTTGTATCATTTTACACATGATAGCCAAGTTGAAAATTTTCGTCACATTTTTCTCAGGAACTTCAATACAAGGATTTCTGAAATTTGGTTTCAGTATTTATATAAGTCAGCTATTCCGTGTGATGCGTTTTCAGATTCATCACTCAACAACTTCCTAATTACCAAAATATTTGGGCGGGGGTATCATCAGTGAGCAGTAGCTGGTAGTTTCACTTGTTTGTTATGAAAAGTTTCCTAATATTGTTAACTTTTTATACTCTTAGATCTACCAAAGAAACGATTGCTAAGGAAATGTGAGCAGCTAGAAAACTTAGTGACAGCAGTATTAGAGCTGGCTAAGCCTGGGGATGTGATTGTAGATTTTTGCAGTGGTGGGGTATGTCTTTTGGAATGTTTATACAGATATTTTGAATTCTTTCTGCTATGAAATGTTGTATCATTGACTTACCATTATGAAATTGAACAAGATATGTGTAGAAAATAAAGTACACTAAATAAACCCAAAACTGTCAGTTGTATACATTTGTCCTTTTAATTTACAAGGCAAGTTTAGAAGATCTACTGTAAATTCAGAATTTAATATGTGCATTTATTATTGCGAATCCTTGACAACTTGCAAGAATGGGAAATCTAATTAATGTGATTAAAAAACTTTTGTTAAGGAAAATCACTACTGAAATTATAAATGCGAGTTCTTATTATTACGAATCTGATACTGTCACATTTTTCGCATTAATAATAACATCGCAATAGGTTCTGAATTAACAGTAGTTTGATTAAGTATTTTAGTTAAGTTAAAATATCACAGAAATTCATAGTGGCATACTTAAGACTTTGGAAACACTTTTTCATAGTATCGTAGGCAATCTTTATTCCATATAAATATATGTAAAAAAAAAACGAGCAAAAAAAAAATCATACCAGTTTTAATTTAAGGTGTTTCACTGTGTGACTATTAAATACCAGCAAAAAATTAACAACAACATTTCCTTGTATTTGATGGTTTAAAAATCAGGACATTTTTATTTACAGGGTCACCTTGGAATTGCAGTTGCTCATTTCCTTCCTGAATGCACAGTAAGTATTCTATCACTTTTTATTTAAAAATGCATTGGTGATTCTATATTATACATAACAAATGCCACAATAGTTTACAGCATTAGGATTGAAAGTACAGCCTTTTAGTTTGACCTAAATAACAAAACAGGAAAGAAAATTTGGAATAAAAAATCTGTCTCTTTTCAAAACTAAGTAAAATAAATTCTGCTTGGTTCCCAGGAATACCAGTTGAAATTTATTTTTTATCTTATTGAATTCAGAGCATCCTAATAAAGAAGGGTCTTACTTAGGACTGGGGTAAACGCTTTTTCTTAAGTTTCTCACACCAGTTCAGCCCTCAGATACATGTAAGAAGCATTTTATAAGCATCAGGATTAACAAGATTAAAATTAAAAGTTACGGAAAAGAGGTACTAATTTGGGTTTTCACTTTCTGAATTTTAGAAGTTGATTTCCATTCAGTCAATTTGACACAACCACTTAGAACATCTGTACAAGGAAAAATATAAGTTGAAAAGGACAGATAACATCATGACAAAAAAAAAAGATCATAAACCCGGTTTAGCCGTTCCTGCTTCAAGAGGCTGCTAATCCTTTGATTTTGATTAAGATACATTAAAACATAAAAAAAAAATAACATGAAATATTTATATTGATGTTATCAAAATACTGAATATCTCTAAGAAATGGCAGAAATGGAAAATGAACTTTGAATTGAATATTTAAAAATTCTCCAGTGCAATTTATTACCTGATCAACTTCAAATGTGATAGTTGGTATACCAACATAAGACTGTTTCATGTAAGTAAGTAAGTAAGTAAGTAAATTTTATTTACGGTCAGCATATATGTACACAATAACATAGAAAACATAAGCTATGTTGAGCTCATTAACCGACTATCATATAAAAAAAAATTGTAAGGGTTCCGCCGAACCGAGTGTCTCGCGTACTTTTGCTGTTAGTCACAGGCTCAACAAAAATGGGGAAAAAATTATTAAAAATTTTCCTCTAGATACTATCTTTTGATTGTAAGAAGTTCTGTTCAAGTTTGGTAAAAATCCAAGAAGGTTTATGAATCTAATAAATGTTTTAAAAACTTTAACTGCAGACTGTACGTAATGTTAAGTGGAATAAAACTAAGTCCATTTATAAGTTATATACGGATACATGTACTAGCTTTTGATCATAAACAAACTTCTGTCCAAGTGTGGTACAAATCCAGGATAGTTTAAGAAAGTTATTAAAATTTGAAAAACTTTAACCACAGAGTGAATGTTATGTTAACTGGCAGAAAAACTAAGTCCATTTATGAGTAAAATAAACAGGATTTTTTTTTTACAAAATTTACTTCTGGATACTATCTTATGATCATAAACAAGCTTCTGTCCAAGTTTGGTTGAAATGCAAGATAGTTCAAGAAAGTTATTAAAATTTCAAAAACTTTAACCACAGAGTGAATATTTGTGGACGCTGCCACCGCCGCCGACAGAATGTAGGATCGCTATGTCTCGCTTTTGCGACAAAAGTCGCAGGCTCGACAATCATGCAGCTTCAAGCAAATACTATGAATAAATAAAAATATAAAGGCATGCGAATATAATGAAGGCAAACTTTTTGATTTCTGAACCTCCAGGGTCAATGCCTGTTGTTTCATCATATATATTAAAGGTATAAAGAAAAGGAATTTTGAAATTATTTACCTGCAAATACCAACAGACCATAATTTTGGATTTTATTAGCTTTCGAGAGCAAATTGAGTAAAATCTGTCCCAAACATTGACTTACAAGAGTCGTCCTTGACAACCTTACATGTTTGAATGGAACAGGCTTGTACTTTTACAAACATAGAAAATAAAATATGTTGTAAATATACCAAATATACAAAAATAATTCTGGGTTTAATAAAAGATCAGCATCTATTTGGTATGAGTAAGATACATCTAATGCCCAAAGGGGACAATAAACAGCTTGTTAAAGCCATTTACCTTAATTTTATAGTAAAGTAAGTTAGAATACTTATATTTAGTCTCATTCCAGGTATACCTAATAGAGAATAAGGAAGAATCTTTGATAAGAGCCAAACAAAGAATTGATAAACTGAACATGAAGAACGTTGTTATTTACCAGGTAAAATTGTTGACCAAACATAAAATGATATTTGGAGTTTTTAAACAGAAACTAGAAATTTTTGGTTGAACCTCATTTACAGCATTACAATGCTTTTATAATTTAATGTGAACCCCAGGATATCAAGACAAAAACAATTAATCCATAGTTTATTGTGAACATGTAGTAATTATACCCCTGCTTTAAAAAAGTGGGGGTATACTGTTTTACCTCCGTCCGTCCGTCAGTCAGTCCGTCCATCCGTCCCATGAATATTTTTCGTCGCATCTTTCTCAGGAACTACATCATAAGGATTTCTGAAATTTGGTTCAGGGTTTATATAAGTCAGCTATACCATGTGATGCGTTTTCAGATTCATCACTCAACATCAAATCCATATTTGGGCTGGGGTATCATCAGTGAGCAGTAGCTCACAGTTTCACTTGTTTTTGGAGTTCTAACATTATGAATATGAATAGATATTTGTTATATTAAACCACAACCTAACAACAAATCTCAGCAAGTGATGTCTTGTGGGCAACATACAGTCTTTAAGAATAGAAAGATGTCTATTGAGGTCAACATACAGTCTTTAAGAATAGAAAGATGTCTATTCAATCTGTAAATTTAATGTATTATACATTCACTTTGAAAAAGACATCATTTACGAAAATGGTGTTATTCGTATCCGAGGAAAACATCATTAAGTAAATCACACAACTAACAAATGTGCACAGTACAGCCACTAACACAATGACTATCCAGTCAAACAAAGAAATGAGAAATGGATGTTGGTTTTTTAAAGCTAGGTTAAGATATAACTTTTCTTTTGCTTTTTTTCAGTGTAACCAGGATTATTTTAGAGGAAAGTTTGACATAGGAATGTGTCTACATGCTTGTGGAGTGGCTACTGATATGGTGTTGAAACAGTGTTTACAAAACAATGCTTCATTTGTTATCTGCCCTTGTTGCTATGGTGGCATACAAAACACTCATCTAATGACTTATCCAACAAGCAGATATTACAAGGATTCTGGGATAGTGTATAAGGTTAAATATTGGCTTAATAGAATCTTCAGTATGACCTGTTTCCATGACAGTACTAATCTTGTTTCACCCCTCTCATCTCTTGATACTCTTGGAATTCATGTTTACCCGACCAAAGTCTTCTTACAAACATAAAAAAAAACTTCTTTAGATCATGAAAACTGCACAGCTTTTGGTCTCATTTGCTTTGCACACTCACCTTAAAACACGTTCATATAATTGTAAGTTAAAATTTCAATATCCTGACAACCTGACATATACTTTAAGTTTCTTTATATGCAATGAAAACTGCATATTCTCTCAGAAAATAGAAATAAAAATGTCTGCTTGTTTATAATGTATAAAAGTTCATATTTATTTAATGGCAAATGGAATGATTTGAATGGCTTTTTAAACTTTATGTTCCATGACTTACATTGGGTTAAAACACAACTATAGCTAGAATCTTTGCAATGTTATGAATAGAACTTATTTTTTTTCTATTAATTGATGAGCAAGTTGACAAATTATCTGTTTTAAAGATTGTTGCTGTGAACTAATTATTTTTTTAGGGTTTCAATTTTCATGGATAGAGAAAAGAGTGTAATTTCAGTGATACTTGGTTTCATGATTTTTACAAAACTACGGAAATTTTGTTAATCACTTTAAAACCTTGTGGTTATCCTATATCCACTAAATTAGCACCACATGAGTTATAATGTATACACAGTATTTAAATGATTTATCATATTGTTTAATAATTATTATTTATTACAGGATTTTTTAACCTTAGGACATGCAGCAGATCAGACAGAATTTAATCTGGTATTAGAAGAACAAGGTATGCACTCAGTTATTGAAAAAGCACTTGCACCTTATTTACATTTTTTTTTAACTGGTCAGTTAAATTTAAAAGTTTATCAAGTTTTAGAATATTTCTTACGCAAAGCAGCATGAGGTAGATGAGTTAACTGAAGGATACTGTAAATTCAGAAATTATTGGCAGGTTTTTATTAATGCGAATAATGCCACTGGTTGAGTAACACAATAATAAGAATGTTCATTATGGTTGATAAATATCTGTATATAGATTTTTCCGGAAATCACAATTATTAATCTTGCATTTTTGTTTAATGTTGAAAAATCACATAAATAAATGCACACATAAATTTCTGAATTAACAGTACCTGCTTGTTATGCCAAAAGAATCTGTTTTTTTACAGCAGTCTTCTTTATAGAAAGCTGTAGAAAATTGTAATGGAAATTACTAACATGGATATAAACTAGGTTGATGCATATTTTGCCGTAATTAAAAAGATTAAAGTTGAACTTTGATGAATATGAAAAGGATCCAGAATATTTTAGGACTGGGACATACATATTTTCATTAATTCCTTCTTTAAATGGGACTGATTAAATGTTTAACTTGGAATCTAGATATACATGTAATGGGGCAGCCATCTATGTAATAGTTCCTAATGTGTCCCCTTATAGCAAAGCTGTGCCAACACATATAGGGATCACTACTGTCATTTTGCATCTTTATAATTTAAAGAAATAGAACAAATGTAATAATATAAACAAACAGTAGACAGCTCTCTCACAAGCAAAAAACCCATAACTGTAAAATATAAGGGCATCTCACTCTGTTAATTAGAAACTCATTTAAATGGCTGGATAGAATTCAAGGAAACTTGCACAGATTCTTCTACATGAATTTGTTTAGCTGCTATTTAAATTTTGATCTGAATGAATTTTACCAAAACATGAGCTTCCAACATTTCTACTATATAATTTGAAGATAGAAAAAAGACACATAGGACCAGGAAGACTTACACTTTTGAAAAAAAAAATCCGTTTCATTTGTTTTTAAAATTTGCAAATATGACAACGAAACTGATTTCTCATTTTCATCTTGGAAATACTATAGGATAAAGTCATATTTTTTATACGACCGCAAAAATTTTTTTGGGTTCGTATAATGGTATGATGTCATCGTCGTCTGTGTCGTCGTCCGAAGACACATTGGTTTCCGGACAATAACTTTAGTTTTAGTGAATGGATCTCTATGAAATTATTGAAGAAGAGAAGATTCAATACCACAAAAGGAAGGTTGGGATTGATTTTGAGGATGATGTTCTCAACCGTTTAGGAATTAGGGGCCCAACAAGGGGCCCAAAACAAGCATTTTTCTAGTTTCAGGATAATAACTTGTGTATAATATTTCGATTGCTCAGAAATTGTACTACAATGTTTAATACCACAAGTAGAAGGTTGGGATTCATTTTAGGGGTTATGGGGCCAACAGTTTAGGAATTAAGGGCCAAAAAAGGGCCAAAAACAAGCATTTTCTAGTTTCTAGACAATAACTTGTGTGTAAGTGTATGGATATCTCTGAAATTGTACTACAAGGTTCCATACTACAAAGGAAAGGCTGGGATTGAGTTTTGAGGTTATTGCTCCAAGGGGGGTTTCAAAAAGTTGGGGGGGGGGGGTTCCAATTTTTTTAAGGGATTCATATTTTTTTTTCAAATTTTTGAAAAGTTTCAAGAAGAAATCTTCAGTTGCACAGTATTGCGCAATGGATTTATAAGATCTTTGACCACATTTATTTTGTATCAGAAACCTATATTATGTCAAAAATTTGATCACAATCCAAATTCAGACAGTATCAAGCTTGAATATTGTGTCCAAATTTGACCCAACTGTTCAGGGTTCGACCTCTGCGGTCCTATCAGGCTGCACTCAGCGAAGCATTTTATTGCTAGTTGCTATTCCTCTTACAGTTTAAGAACCCAGATCCTTGAAACTTCACAGAAATGTTGCACACATATTGAAGATGTGCACCTGCTATTTAGAATTCACCCCTACCCCCATTGTCCCATGATTTTTGGAAAGTTTGCTTTAGCTTGCTATAGCAAAAACTTTCCTAAGGCATCGGCCTCAAACCGGAAGTGACAGGCTATCTTACTTTAGGATGTGTGTTCTACTCCTAGATAATGTAGTAGTGGTGTTTGACAACTAATTCTAGGAAGATGCGTTTGAAATTTTGAGTAACTTCTATTTTGATTAGCTTACAGTTTGAATTAAAATGTACCGAATGTTCATCGATAATTCAAATAATTCAACTTCATTTTGAAAATGGCTATCACAAACACTACTTTGCGGATCTGCGCTGCGGAAAGTAAAATCAATACAAATCTACACGAGACAGCAGTTTCTACATTATGCTTTTATTGGTATTCCCCAGACATGCGTGCATATCAACGGGAGTACTATAATCTAGGTTTCAGGGGTTTCCTCCCGTCCTCCGGTTGAAGAGAAAATAAATACCGTGTTTAAAATATTTCACAAATGAACATTTTTCGACGCTTACTACGATTTTTACAATGTTTATTAAAGACGTAAAAACCCGAGTGTATCGAAAGTATCTCGGTATCTCATCTCGGCCCACAACAAACTCGGACTATAATAAACACGGCCTATTACATAATCAGCATCAGAAAACCGAACTATAACAAAATTCGTAATTATACTACTTGCTATTGTTTTGCTCAGCTCTTATTATTTTCTTCTTGAGGTCTATTTAGGGGTATTTTGAGGGCCAACAGAAGGGAGGGATTAACTATAGAACCCTATGGAATTTTTTTTTTTATTTTCAAATGACTATAACTTGAAAACAGTAAGTGATAGACACACACGGTTTTCAATAATAATCACAGGATCATAAAACAAATCAAATGAAATATAGCGGGAGTCCCTCTGGATCAGCCCCACCCCCTCCTGTTTGAGAACTTGTAAACGGTTGAGATCCCCACCCCTAAACCATATATATTTTTGTATGGGACAATAAAACAAGTCAAATGAAATATAGGGGGAGTCCCTGGGTGTCACCATGACCCCATCCTGTTTTGAGAACTTGTAAACAGTCAATATCCCCACCCCAAAACCATATATATTCTTGTATTCTTGTACGGGACAATAAAACAAATCAAATGAAATAAAAGGCGAGTCCTCTGGGGTCACTCCCACCCCCTTCCTGTTTAAGAACTTGTAAATAGTGGAGATCCCCACCCATAAACCATATATATTCTTGTATGGGACAAAAAAACAAATCAAATGAAATATAGAGGAAGTCCACAGGGGTCACCCCACCCCCTTTCTTTTAGAAAACTTGTGTAAACGGTCGTGATCCCCACCCCTAAACCATATATATATTCTTGTATGGGACAATAAAACAAGTCGTCGAAATATAGGGGGAGTCCCTGGGTGTCACCCCCACCCCATCCTGTTTTGAGAACTTGTAAACGGTCAAGATCCCCACCCCGAAACCATATATATTCTTGTACAGGACAATAAAACAAATCAAATGAAATAAAAAGCGAGTCCCCTGGGGTCACTCCCACCCCCTACCTGTTTTTAAAAGAACTTGTAAACGGTCGAGATCACCACCCTCAAACCATATATATTCTTGTATGGGACAATAAAATAAATCAAATGAAATATAGAGGAAAACCACAGGGGTCACCCCACCACCCTTCTTTTTGAAAACTTGTAAACGGTGGAGATCCCCACCCCTAAACCATATATATTCTTGTATGGGACAATAAAACAAATCAAATGAAATATAGGGGGAGTCCCTGGGTGTCACCCCCACCCCCATCCTGTTTTGAGAACTTTTAAACAGTCAAGATCCCCACCACGAAACCATATATATTCTTATATGGGACAATAAAACAAATCAAATGAAATAAAAGGTGAATCCCCTGGGGTCACTCCCACCCCCTTCCTGGGAATGACTAATTAGGGAACTTTGTTTGGGAGACTTAGTGACAGCATCATGTTACAATTATTTCTTGTATTAAGTAATTTTTTTTTAAAGTCGGAAAAAAAGTTAAACACCCAATCTACACATTTGCAACCTATTTGAAATATTACACATCTACCGTTGGAAACTTTCCACAGGTGCTATCCAGCACTTTGATTACAAAAGACAGTACCAATTGTGTATAAATATCTTCTTAAGTTTTCAACTCAGATCCCTGAAACTTCACAGAAAGGTTGCACACATACTGCAGTTGTGCACCTTTTCTCATAAAATTGTTTGAGGAATTTTTGTCCACTTTTCCAGACTTTGGGACTTATAGGTTGCATTTCTGTAAATATTGACAATGCAATTTCCCATAGGAACTCCTTTTACGGCTAAAACTGTACCACTTTTACTATGAAGTTTTGAAAAAAATCATAACCTAGAATGGAAATTTCATATGCACTACAATTTTTTTCAAAGGTCAAAATATAGGGCTGTGCGGCATATTTTCAACGTTTATATGCCCCGAACTTCTAAGAGTTTAAACTAACACTAAATTTCTTAACTATCCCTACCTTGGATTAAGGATTACCACAGATTTCTCTATAGACAATATGCATATGTATATTTACTGGTAACATTCCCAAGTTATGTCTCTATGAGATGAAACCTAGAGATCATAACTGGGAACCAGTATGTAAACAAAATTAATTATCTATGAATATTCTATATCTCCCCAAAAGAGGCGTGGTTTGAGAAACAGCTGTATTTACAAAGTGCAACCTATAGTAATACTTCTTTCATCAAAATGGGTGTATTAATATTGATTTAACTATGAAAATGAGACTACAAAAATGCATTCAATTCATAGTTTGTGTATTGTCTATACCCAGTATATCAAGTATATGTATTTTAGGGATTGGAAAATAGGGAGCACTACATGTACAGTTGGTGATTTTACAATAGATTAAATCACACTTTAAAAAAACTCAGCAAAGATACCAGGCTTATAATCTTTTACACCAGATGTCAAAATCGATTTTCAGTCTTAAAAAATTGTGTATAGTTTAAATATGTTGTGTATTTGTGTTACAGATAAATATGGGTGTATTGTTGATATACTACCTATTTGTGTTACAGATAAATATTGTGTATTGTTGATATGCTACCTATTTAATGTTACAGGTAAATATTGTGTATTGTTGATATGCTACCTATTTAATGTTATGGGTAAATATTGTGTATTGTTGATATGCTACCTATTTAATGTTACGGGTCAATATTGTGTATTGTTGATATGCTACATATTTATGTTACAGGTAAATATTGTGCCAACCTTGTGGACACAGACAGAGCAGCGTTAGCTAAAGAACATGGGTACAAAGTGACTCTGTGTTCTCTCAATCCATTAACATGTACACCTAAAAACAATTTGTTAATTGGTATAGCACCTGAACAGAAAAGTGAACCATCCTGACAATAAGTTCAATAAATATTTTATGTATCACTTTCTTGTCATTTATATATATAACTACACAATTATATCCCGCGCTCTAAAAGGGGGGCTTTTATTGTAATTACCTTGTACGTTTGTGTGACAGCTATTCTTGTGACCCTTTTCACAGACACTACTGAACAGAATGACTACATGTTTAGTCAGCAGCTTAGTCAGTAACTGCTAGTAGTCCTTTGTTAATTTATGTATCATTGTCATTTTGCTTAGTTTCTTTTGTTACCTATTCTGACATTAGACTCAGACTTCTTTTTTACTGTGCGTATTGCTATGTGTTTTTTTATTCTACATTGGCTAGAGGTATAGGGGAGGGTTGAGATCTCACAAAACATGTTTAACCCAGCCACATTTTTGCACCTGTCCCAAGTCAGGAGCCTCTGGCCTTTGTTAGTCTTGTATTATTTTTTAATTTTAGTTCCTTTATATGTTTTGGAGTTTAGTGTGACGTCAATTTTCTCTGAACCAGTACACAATTTTATTTAGGGGACAGCTGAGGACCACCTCCGGGTGCAGGATTTTCTCGCTGCGTTGAAGACCCATTGGTGGCCTTCAGCTATTTTCTGCTCCTTGGTCGGGTTGTTGTCTCTTTGATATATTCCCAATTTCCATTCTCAATTTTAACAGTGATAAGTTGTAAAGGGTGAGCACTTTTTGAAGATGTCAGATACATACTTTTTGTTTGCCGGTACTTTGAATTTTTCAATATGTAGAATGAATCATAATTCTCCAATACTTAACAGAATTACTTCATATTATGTCAGTAGTTCAACAATAATGAGTTATAACATGTGTCTACTCTTCAAAGATGTGAAACACATATTTCCTGTTTTCTGATACTTTAAATTACGATTAAGGGTATGCTTAGCTCAACAACGCGTGCATTCTTGTTTTTGTGGCCATACTGTGCTATGAGTATGATTCGTTGTTCATCCATGAATAGTTATCCTAGGCAACATGGTTGCAGCCAGCCTGAACCTATTGTCCAAGTTAAACGATCTTTAAAACTTGTCTTCTTTTAGTATAACAAGAGTGCACAAGCTAAAATATCTCTCCTGCTTTACTGATTATGATTGATTTTATAATAAAAGTCTTTTAGATAAAGGTTTGACTACAAATATCATATAAACTTATCATTATCAAGGATCCATGTAAATCAGGTCAAGGTCAAATGAACCCTGCCACACCAACATGTACACCTTACAATAATTCCATATACCAAAAATAGGCAACCTTTTGCTCATAGAAACAGACCTAACCTTGAAAAAGTAATATTGACCAATGAACCATGAAAATGAGGTCAAGGTCAGATGAAACCTGACAGACTGACATGAACACCTTATAATCATTCAACACACCAAATATAGTTGACCTACTGCTTATAGTATCTGAGAAACAGACCTAATCAAGTAACTTTAACCTAGATCACTGATCCATGAAATGAGGTCATGGTCAGGTGAACCCTGTCTGACAGACATGCAGACCTTGCAAGGATTCCATAGACCAAATATTATTACTCATAATAATTGAGAAATTCATATGACAATAAAATGCTCCGCTGTGCGCAGCTTGATACGACCGCAGAGGTCGAACCCTGAACAGTTTGGGCAAGTATGGACACAACATTCAAGCTTGATAAAGCACTGAATTTGGATTGTGATTATATAGTTGACACAGTATAGGTTTCTGACACAGAATGAATGTGGTGTAAGAACTTAAATTTTTTTAATTTACCTATTCAAACCATATCATTATTTGCTTTTATATATAAATCAGAAATAACCAATTTAAAATGGAAAATTTTAAAGAAAAAAAAATCCCCCACCCAATTTTTTTAACCCCCTTATGATTCATCACCCCCAAACTCAATCCCAGCTTTCCCTTTGTGGTATGGTACCTTGCAGTACAATTTCAGAGAGATCCATACACTTGAACACAAGTTATTGTCTGGAAACTAGAAAAATGCTTGTTTTTTTGCCCCTTTTTGGCCCTTAAATTCCCAAACCTTTAAGGCAATTACCCTCAGACTCAAACCCAGCTTTCCGTTTGTGACATGGAACCTTGTAGTACAATTTCATAAAGATCCATACACTTACACACAAGTTATTGTCCTGAAACTAGAAAAATGCTTGTTTTTTGCCCCTTTTTGGCCCCTAATTCCTAAAATTTTGAGGCAATTACCCTCAAAATCAATCCCAGCCTTCCCTTTGTGGTATGGTACCTTGCAGTACAATTTCAGAGAGATCCATACACTTACACACAAGTTATTGTCATGAAACTAGAAAAATGCTTATTTTTGGCCCCTAATTCCTAAAATTTTGAGGCAATTACCCCCAAAATCAATCCCAGCATTCCCTTTGTGATAGGGACTTTGTGGTACAATGTGAGAGAGATCCATACACTAACACACAAGTTATGTCTGGAAGTTACAAAAATGCTTATTTTTGGCCCCTAATTCCTTAACTGTTGGTACCATAACCCCCAAAATCAATCCCAACCTTCCTTTTGTGGTATTGAACCATATGGTGAAAATTCATAGAGATCCATTCACTTAAACTAAAGTTAGAGTGCGAAAACCAATGTGTCTTCGGACATCGACGTCATACCAACATACGACCGCAAAATTTTTTTGCGGTCATATAAAAATGGGGAATGTGTCCATGGGACACAAATGATGCCCGCGCTTGCATATAACATTTTAAAGGGACATAACTTAAGAACTGTAAAAGTGACGCTACCAAAATTTGTACTTGATCTGAGTTTTGTGGTAATAAGCATTGTGTATAAGTTTCATAACATTTAGTTGAGGCAAACTTAAGTTAGAAACGGAAATGAAAAATCAGCAATTTTTCTATTTGTAAAGGGGCATAACTCTAGAACGGTAAAAGTGACACCACAAAAATTCAAACTTGATCTGTGTTTTGTGGTTATTTGCATTGTGCATCAGTTTCATAACATTTGGTTGAGGCAAACTAAAGTTAGAGAACGGAAACGAAAAATTCAGCAATTTTTCCATTTGTCACGGTAAAAGTGACGCCACCAAAATTCTAACTTGATCTTTGTTTTGTGGTAATAAGCATTGTGTATAAGTTTCATAGCATTTGGTTGAGGCAAACTAAAGTTAGAGAAAGGAAACCAATTTGGGACGTACATACGTACGGACAGACGGACAAGGGTAAAACTTAATGCCCCCTCCGATACAGTGGGGGCAAAAAAACCTATACAGTTTTTGCTCATAGGACAGACAGAAACTTATAAAATAATGCATTTAAATACAAGGTATGAAGCATCCAGGTCTTCTACCTTTTGAAACATAAAGCTTAATACAAATAGTTTCTCACTCTGCCTGATTGTTATGTTATCTCTATGTCTTGCATACTGTGACTTTCGTTGAAAGAAAGAAAAAAACCTGTTTTCAATTAGACCTTTACTTATGTACATTGATGTTTTATAATATATGACCGGTTTTCTAATATCCAAGGATTTGTATATACAAATCCTTATAATATCTAAATGCTTTGAGAAATGTGACTGATCTTCCATGTAGTTTAGAGAGATAACAGAAAAGCTGTAGAAGGCCTGTAGTAGATCCATTTGAAAAACAGCTTTTATTGTACAATAATGTAATGTTTGTTTCCTACACAAGTAAAACTTGCCTAATATTCTATCGAAGAGAAACGAATATCTTATCTTTTAAACAAGATTTCCTATGAGTTGGATTACAAGGAACAATTTTCAACATGACAACATCACATATTGGAGGGTACATATTTTTGGGGAGATTCAAGGAGCAATGCAAATTTATTGGCAGTACACAATATGGATACTTTTTTGATCTTATCTAGATAGGCAGACCAAAAATACAGCACTGAAAAAATTAAGCAACAATAATCAATCAAATAATAAAAAAAATGCAATAAAAAACCCATTTTATCAACTAGGAATATGACCGTGACCTTAGGTTATGGTCAGGACAATTATGTACAAAAGCCTCGTGAATCTTTCTAAATTTCAAGTATAGTAACATCTAAAAAGATGGTTTATTTTTTATTTATTTTACTTTCTATACAATTATACTATGAACATTTTGTCAAAAATAAATTAGGATAAAATCTAAGTCCTTCTACACTTTCATCTCGACAAACTCCACCAACTTTTTCTGTCAACAGTAATCTGAAAAATATCACAGAAATAATGAGTTTAACTTGTCTGGAAATATCTACCTTTCACCGACAAAAATAAATTGACAACTTATTGTTTTCAATATTTCTGAACAATTACAAACCATGCAAAAGTCTAATGGGTACCGTAGCTAAGGTTGTGACACACCTTTTACCATTATACCTATGGTGTCAGTTAAAGCCTAAAAAATGAAAAGTTCACCTTAAATTTGACCATGCTCAAACTTGTTTTTGCAATAGCCTGACTAATCCTTGGAAGTTTGATATGGTTTTCCAAATTTTTTGTGATATTCTTATTATTGGAAAAAAAACCCAGCATATTTTTATATATAATGTTACCCTTATCTGTCATTCCATAACAAACAGTTATACAGACTTTTGTTCTAAATGCCTTCACATATTGAGTTGATATTAGTATGTGAGTCTACTATGATGAGTTACAGATGAAAATTACATGTGGTTCCGGTCTGCTGATTTTTGCTGAAATTACGGGCTTTGGACTTTGTTTTTTGAAAATAACAGTTTAAAGACTTTTTTCTAAACTCTTTCACAAATTGAGCTGATTTTTAGTATGTGAGTCTACTATGATGAGTTACAGATTAGGTTTTGTTTTGCTCCATTGACTTTTGCAAAAATTACGGGCTTTGGACTTTGAAAATTTTGTGAAAATAAGTTATATGGACTTTCATTCTCAAATTTCCACTCCTAAAAATGGCTTCAAGCTTTTTTAGCAAAGGGGGCCATTCGGGTCATTCCGACACATCTAGTTTGTATGCATCATTAAATTTAATTAATTAATAAAAAAATATTGTATGT